TCTTAAAAAACGCATAACTTGCAAAAAGTCGATTCATTCCTTAAAAAACGCATAACTTCCACAAAAATTGATTAATCAAAAAACCCCTACGTACTTCCAAAACCAATTGTATATAGATTATAAATTCTTTTGATTTTTTATCCCACGACTCATACATAACGAGAAATCCGTCCTCCCGTAGGGGTGTTTTCACAAAAGCTGTTTCCGCCGATCGGCTCTGTCGCCTGCATTTTGTACGAAAATGACAATCAAAAATTATTTTGTCGTAGTTCAATATGTGTTAAATAAACCCTCTAAAAAGAGATTCTTTTCCGTTTATCGTTCTTCCAAAAAAATTGTCAGAATTAGGCCTCTTTTTCGGGCTCTAGAGTGGTGATACCCCTTAAATCACTTGGTAATTACATCAATTATCTACTAAATAAATTGTTATTTACTGAAGTTTATATTATTCAGCCCATTTTATTGATCAGGTTTACAATACAAGTACCTGATACAAGTATGTGTCTGCATTCATTCCAACATTTGCTCTTTTAGTTTCTCAAATTGAATCAAAATTCGGATTCAAATTGCTTCCGTTGAATATGTTCCGTGCTTTTGTCATTCCAATCGCGCTTGGAATCTTCAAGTTCCAAGTTATCAGCTTATAGTAAATTAGTGTACGGATCTAGTGTTACTGATGTTTGCTCTATCTGTTTGACTATATTCACAAAATCTTAGATTCTATTTCTGCCTCCATTGCGCAAAGTTTGAACGGTGAGAGTACGAGGGCGCGACATACAGAATTATATGAGGTAAATTGCAGTGCAATTCAAGCGCGAAAAGAAAAGAAGTAGTGGTGAGAAGACACATGAAGCGGTGATGACCAGGATCAACCTACCGACATGGAGAAAACAATCCAGGAAAAAAAAGTTGAAAAAGGGTTCGAAAGGGGGACTGGCGCGTATTTTGTCGATGAGAGAGGAGCGGGAGTGGCAAGGTGGTTCTGATGAAGAGGTTGACAAGGGAGGAGGGAAAACATGCTTGTCGCCAGTCGCCGCACAGTGTTTCATGCAATGGACAAAAGTCAAATTTCTGTAGTATTTAAATCATGATGTTATATATACCATATTGTCCAGAAAGAAACGTAGATTTCAAAAATATTTATACTTTTAATAAATAGAGTAACCTTTTTTTAAAGTTGAGAGTAAAAGTTTACCGTAGATTTTGGTGAATTTTCTTTGGATAAACGTATTTCGTAGAATATTTGTATATTTTAGTTCATCTTTATGGATTTTATTAGTCATTATAATACCTTTAAAATGCGCGAAGCAGGATTTCAAAAATATTAATTAATTTTCTCAATTTTCAATTTAAATGTTTATTCACTTTGAGAAGACTTTTAAAAAAAAGTCTTATGTACCTGTCAATTTGAGCTGCCCATATCTGCCCAAAACGAAGTGCACAATGAAAATTGTTAATACGACGCTCTCCGCTCAAGCCCTCAGCGCATCTGTGGGACCTTCGCATACGAATTTTACTCGTTCATTCGGCAGAGCGATAAAGCAATTGAGTTTGTCACGGTCAAGGTAACTGATTGTACACGACAAATTATTTTATTTACACGTTTATGATAGGGTGGCCTATTCAGTTAAAAACTGTAAAATAAGATTTCTAGCTTACGGACCTAAGGCTTAATTGCCTACACCTAAACATCTGTAAATGGCCCATGCTATTTTCTACCAACGCTATGGGCCATGTGGCGTTGCAAGTTAGAAAATCTAAACATTTGCCTTTTCTGAACATTCTGTCTTCAGTTTTGGAAGAGCATTCAGAGGTGACACACAGCGAATATAATCAGTTATTTTTTCTTTCAGTTTCATTTCCTAGTGGTATTATCAGTTCATAAATTCATACTGCCTAGTGCTATTTTTCATTACTTTATAGTATTAGTGTAGTGTATATAATGCAGTGTAATATAAATATACA